CCTTGGCATCGTACCTAACACATAGCAGTTGCTCTATAATTGCCCATTAAATAAGAGCAGGACTAAAAAGACAAGGTTAGAGATTGTACGTAGGCGGTGAGAAACCACCTTGCTGAAATGTGGGGTTTCTGGAGCAGTTTTAGAGCCAGCCAGTCTCTTGCGAATGGTTCCTGTAATGCACACAGTGACATCTACTGCCAAGAACATGGGCGGAAAGCGACTTCCTATCATAGCTCACCCCGTCTTGATCTAAGTGGAGTGCTGAGTGGGAAGTTGGGCGTTTATCTTTGTGCAGCGGACACATTTGTAAGTACATCTGTGTGGGCTTAGGGGTGTATTTATGGAAACATGAGTGTAAACATATACAGAGGCTGTTTTAAGAACATCTGAGCTCCTGGGTGCTCTGATTTCTGGAAGTTCCGTCTCACATCATCGCAAACATAGGAAAACATTCCCACATCCTCTAAATACTCTGGAGGACTCCGGGCTTTTAAAAAATAGTTTTCATTTGAAGTTATTTGGCGACGGGAAACTCGTTTACTTTATGAAGACTTATGACTTCCTGGCAATCACAGTATTTGGAAATTCATATCAAGTGATTTTTAACTTATAAATGATTTTAAATATAATGAAACATTGATCAGTTAATAAATTCAAATGATGAAGTTGACATGCTGTGTTTTGGGGACTTTCATTTACTAACTTCAAATTTGCCGTGTGCTTTTGGTATGGTGGAGCCAATAACATTTCTTTTTCAGTCTCTAACATGTTCATAGGTCCCTGAAAAGCTCCAGGGATAAAACACTCTCGTAAACATTGCTGCTGCTGTGTGATTCCACACCGGGCAATGAAAGTCAACCGTGACAGCCATTTTCTTCCATCCTAAGGCGGTCTCCGAATGGAACATGGGGAAAACACTTCTTTTTCTTCCGTCTCCAGGACTTTCTCACTTCTCTCTCCATGTGGTTCCTCGCTCCCTCCATTCTCACATTTGCTATAAATGTCAGTTCACAGCCAGGAGAGCCTGGACCCAGGAAGCAAGGCACACAGGGGGCCCGTCCTGAACCGGCTGCCGGGGTCTAGGGAAGAGGGTTTATGGGCGCAATCCCCCAAGCTGACCTTCCAGCACCAACATGTGAGGCGCCGTGTTTTCCTTGCTGACCTTCAGACACCTTTTAGCGGGGCATCTCCCTGCGCGCCGGGTCAACCGCGGGCAACTGGCCACTTGGGATTCTGCAAACGGCCTTTTCTTTCGCTCTCCAGGTGGACTAACGCTCCGACGGTCATCGTCGTGAAACTGCCAATGACCAGCGGTTACCGAGGGTTCGGTTGTGGCGCGGGCGGGCTGAATCTTTAATCCTGAGGATTGAGCGGCCGTCTTGGGGCCACGGCGGGCACCACCCAGACACGCTATTAGCGGCGTCCTCGGGACAAGGGGCGTCCCAGCAGCCTCAGGCACGTCGGCCACACTCCTGGGCATGTCGGTCTGACCCAGCCAGGGGGGAGAAGGGGGACACCGCGAGGCCGCCCCGCGGGGACCACCCGCCCAGCGGCAGCGCTGACCTCTGCCCTGGCATCCTTGACCCTGACCCGGCCCGGCGGACGCCCCCGCAGCCCTTCGGGAATTCCTGGGGCAAGCCCCCTCCCGCGCCGCCCCCGGACCCCCGGGGAAAGGAGAGGGGCCCGGCCGGCGGCTCCGGAAGGGGTCCCCGACCGCGCTCGGGCCGGGGGAAAGTGATTTCTCGGAAAGCCGAGCGCTTCGAAGAAGGCGGGCCGGGCGGGCCGTGCCGATTGGGCGGTGCCGCCCCCCTCCCGCGCGCCATTGGCCGGCGTGGCCGTCGCTCCGCGGCTCGGCGGACCCGCCCCGCCCTTAAAGCCGCGCGCGCCGGCGCCCGGGAGCCCGCGGCGGCAT